ACTCTTTCCGAATGTGTTTTAATCCAATTTTGTGATATCAAGATTGAGAGATATATTACAATCTCTCTAATATTAAACAGCAACATCTAATTTTTTTACTGTAATAAAAAATTCTCACATAAAGTCACATATCAACTCGAATTAAAAATTCAAATCAGCGAACTAAACAGGTCTTAGATTAAAGTAAGGAAAAGTTAGTTAAAAAGATATTTTTATTTTTTAAAAATATAGCATCATTTTAGATACTAAAATTAGACAGATGATTTGATCTAAATGTGTGTGTGAGACATGAAAAGGATTGACCAACACAAACTATTGTGGTGCTTTTGTAATTTTTCATTTTATGTTTCTCAAACACAAACATTTTAATCCGCCGTTCGTTTGTTTAAACTTTAAACCTGTTTAATGTCAATCTGATTCTAAGGACCCCACTTATAGCAAGTTGCATCTAGACAATCACTGGTGTGTCTTACTTGACAAGTCCTTTCTTCTTGTTGGATTTTTAATATCTAAGAACTACTACAGCTTTACAATATGTATATTGATATTTTAACTCCCTCTTTATGCGTGCGTCCTTTGGTCCCATTTCTTTTTATGCCAAATACTTGCACGTTTCATCTCTTTCCATTGTGACATGGAGTCATAGACAACTGAAAAAAGGCAGTGGGCCTTTCGTCCTATAAAAGCAGTTCCTTTCTCTTACCATTCTAACCCCTTCTTTTTCCTCTTTGCTGGAATTCCACTTGGGACTTCACTTTAATGATGTGAAAACTATTACTAGGGCATTCTGTTTCAAAAAAAAAAAAATTTTTGTCTAATTCTTCTAGTAGTTTTTATTCCACTTGGAGGTTTCTTTCGAGATGGGATCCTGCTCTCAATTACCTAAACATGATATGCTATAAGGTTTCTCTTATATTTTGAGAAGATAATCATGTCGTCTGGGCCCGTGCTCAGCCCTAACCCATTAAACGAGCCGGGCCGGCACGGCCCGTAACAATACCGTACCGGACCGTGCTGAAACGGGCACTGTTATGGGTTGGGCCAGACCGTCCAAAAACGGCCCGACCCATTTGACACATCTACATCTACGTCACGAAATAAAATGCAAATGTCAAGTATCACTAGTGATGTGTTTCAACTAATAATCAAAGAGATGCTAGTTACTTTTGCACTTTATAAATGTTAGTTGATGAAAGTTACTTTCTGTTTTACTTGTGGTTTCAATTAATTGTTAAGTGACCATTAGATTAGAGAAATGGTTGTTCTCTTTTTTAAGGAGCAAAAGGGAAAAATACAACTGTTATATTGCACTGCTCTTGACAATTTGACAACTGATATATTGCACTGCTCTGTTATTTCTATACTTTATTGTGTTAAAAATACCAATTTTCTCCTTCTAATACAATTTTATTGTGATTAAACGGTCCAAAATTGTTATATATGTCAATTGAGTCTTACTTTCATGTGGAAAATTGACATTTAAATATATAATTCTTAAAATTCCGGTAACCATAATGAACAATCATGAGGTCTATATATGCGTATTACTCTACTTCCAATATGTAGAGCACCCAACAGTTGAAACATAGAAAATTTATAACATGTATTTTTTATTTAGAAATTTGTATATTTTATCAGCAAAGTCTTTAAACCGGCATTTATTATTTGCTGGATTGAAACGACAATTGTATAATTCAACATAAATTGTGTATATTTACATATAAATATCGACAATTAAATTTAAGTCTTGTATATTTACATGTTGTATAATTCAGCATATGTCTTGTATAATTTAGCATATAGAAGTACAATTATAAAGATATATAAGTTATATGATAAGTTATACAATTCATCATATATCTTGTATATTTACATACGGTAATTATACAATTCAATATAAATCTTATATAATGTTTTTTTGCCAGATCAATCAGGTAAATAGTGCCTGCCGAACGGAAGACATTTTCTACTTTATCAACGCATCTTTATGCGCAATAGTGCAGAGCTTTTCAGAAGAATCAAGGCAATGAGAGAATTCCAACTCTAATGATCTCATAATATGTGCATATATATATATATGCATGCACCGTTACCATTTTATCAGTCCTATGGTCCAAACGCACGTATTGTCATTGAAAAAGTAAAACTGAAAAAAAAACATTGTGAATAGAAAAAAGGTTTGAACTTTGAAAAGCGACAAGAAGACAAGAGTTAAAAGAGCAAGATACATGGTGGACTCCCCAAGATCCTCCTCTACATAGGCCATATGATATTATTTTGGCATAATATATATTCAATTATTTGTTTTATCCAAAATTACCCTTTTGTCCTCCCCTCTTGCCTTTCTTCAAGGCCACCGTCACTCTTCCTCAGCCACCTTTAATTCAAACTTCCTTCCATCCTCTCTCTTTCTCTCTCTAGGCTCACTTCATTCAATGCAAAATGCATGCCACTTTCTCTCTCTAGCTTAAGTATCTTTTCTTTACCGCCCAGCCCTTTGTGTTTCAAAAAAAGCTGTCAACTGATAACATAACACCAATTTCTCTTATTTCTCCCTCTATTCTCCTATCTACAAACAAACTCTCAACAGAGATTCTTTTGTCTCTTCCATTCTCTAGCAACGAAGTTGGTGATTTCCCACTTTTCCTTTGCCAAGTACATTGCATATTTAATTGAGGATTTTACATGCAGAGTTAAGGAACTCATTTTGCTCGCTACAAAGATGTTACTGTAATACTGTGGTGCTGTTTTTGCTTAAATTGGCCACTTTTCAAGGTTAGAGCTTGTATTTTCTTAAGCTGTTACATTTTCTTTTGGCTTTAAGGTTTTTATTGTTTTCTTTTCCTACAGAACTTCTCAAGTCTCTATCTGGGTTTTGGTGGTTTTGACTTTATTTTTTTATTATTTTATTATTTTCCCTTTTTGCTAGAATTGGTGGTTTTTACTTGTTCCAACTCTATTTGGATGTTGAGAAATATGCAAAAAGAAAAAAGTGGAAAAAGATTGAAAGTACTTAATAGCTGAGAAATATCGTCATCACCCATCATTCTATTTCCACCGCTTAAAAAGCTGTGAGATTCATAATAATCGAGCTTCAATTCCTTGTCCTTTTCACTTTCTTATTACCATAACAAAATGTGTTTTTATATTCAAAGATCTGTCTTCTTGCATATTTACTCTGTTGCTAACTAAGTTAAGCACTTTTGAGTGTACGAAAATTTCCCTTTTCTTTTTGTTGCCTTGTCTTTTGTTTGGTTATTTTTATTTATTTTTTTAGTTCCGTTCAAGGCGGTGTTAAGGAAGAGAAGGACATAAAAAAATGCAGTTTCAACACCATCTTTCTTCCGTGTGCCATGTTTGGATCCCACTTTCTGCAATCTCGATCATTGATTTTCTTTAAAATTAAAACTTATTGCTCATTGAGACAAAATTGCCTGAAAGTGTATCGCCGCGTGAAAAAAAAGAAGCCTTTTGCCAGATTAGCTCCCCTTAACCGCATGCTCTTTAGACTGGTCAGTGTTGATGATGTGTTTTGAAAGAGTTATAAACACCGAGTGTGAAATGACGTGCATCTGATATTAACATGTATTGTGAAATAATTCAAAGCATGGTATTGAATTTGTCATCAAGTCGGACTAGGCGGGTGTTTTTACACCATAAAAGTCCAAGACTTCACACGATTTAAAAAACTGTGAGGCCATTTGTCCTACTCTGTACCGCTTTTTCAGGTGTTAGATGATCGTCGTAAAAGATCTCGACCGTTGAAATTTTTTGTTATTGGGGTCCTATCCTACATGACCAAAAAAAATAAAAAACTTAAATTTCAACTGTCCAAATCGATACGTGTCATATGACCAGAAACAAGGATAGTAGTACCGTAGTTCTGGCCTAAAACTAAGCATGTGAATAAGGAGCTGATGACAGGACTGAAGTTATCATGTAAAAGTCTGGAACCCCAGAGATTAAGTGAATTGTCTATGGAGCTCCATTAGTGTGAGAGACTTGGACCTTCCAACCACTAGCCTAGTGGTCCTACCCAGATGTGCCTTTTTGTTTTTAACATTTGGAAGCAATCTCATACTTTTAGTAGTTGTAATTCTAATTCCTTGTAACTATTTCCTAAGGCAGTAAAGTAACCATCTCGCATAATGTTGCTAATCTTCCACTCAATGGGCACTTGCATTTATCTTTGACATTTGTGTTTTTCTTCACAATTAATGGAATTGAGCAATTCGGTTGCAAAGATCTTAGCCCCACAACCATGGTTAACATGATAAGCCTACCTCACAATCATTGAAGATATTGACGTTTTAGCTGTTCCAAGAAGAAAAAAAACACCCGCAGCAATATTTCCGCTGGACCGTTTGGTGTGTAAACCTGTTTCTCTTGATGGGCCAATCAATGCCGGAAATGGGTCTCTCACCTTCCTAATTTTATGGTTGTTTGTGGCTGGGGATGAAGTTTTGGAAGTGGTACTCTCACATTTTGTGGTTGGATGGTTTGGTGTTATGAGGTTCTTAGTCTACCTAATATATAATATAGTAAGATAGCAGTAGCCTAAACTGTGATTTGTTCAGAAGAGGCAGCATCTGAGGAAGTGGGGAAAACAAAAGTATTTTCTTTTATTTCTTGTAGAGTGATCAAATTTGCTTCACCAAGTTTATTGTTCCTGCATAACATTTTGCATTGGTAGCTTTGCTGCCATGTATTTTGGATCTTAGCAGTTAGCGGTAGAAGCATTTTAGGAGAATTTTACAGCTTATATTATTAGTGTTGTCCTATTCATGTATAGTGTACTTTGTTCTTACTATTTTTCTTTTCCTGTATTTTTCCTTATGATCACGTTCACGACTCTAAAATGTGCAGATCACACATTGATATCAATTTCTCTCGTTCAATCAGTTTAGCCCTTAGAGGAGGAACCAAATGCCGAGATCAAGGTAAGATACTCAGAATAAGTATACAATCATACTTGTATAATTTCTTTGTTACGTAGCACTGTTGTTTGAATTATGAGATTCAATTTAATTCTCACGTATAATACATATTTTGTTGTAAACATTAAAAGTTCAGCAGAAATTAAGCTGCCTCCTAGGAGCTTTGCCTATCATTACATCTGAGAAAACCTGGTCTTTTTCTCTCTTGAGTGTTAGAAGTGATTCAGTTACGAGTGTGGTTATTGTAGAGAGAGTCTATGAATTTGTGCCAAAGTAGCTTGAACTATTCTCTATACATTTTTGTATTGTGCATTGTGCAAGTAACTTATGAAGTGAATTTGTCTACGTTTGCTGCTGTTGAATAGGGGATCAGAAGTGTCTCAAAGGCCATCTACTCGAGTCCCACCTCATCTCAGGACATCAAGTTCTGATTCTGATTCACTGCATCATCGACCAATCACCAATAGGAGTCCAAAGGTAGGAGATCGCCGCTCCCCAAGAAGTGTGCAATCCGATCCTGTAAATCAGAAGAAACTCGGTACCCGAATTGCGGATTTAGAGTCCCAACTGGGGCAAGCCCAAGAAGAACTAAAGAATCTGAAAGATCAGTTGGCTTCAGCTGAGGCTGCAAAGAAAGAAGCCCAAGAGCAGTTGGAGATAAAAACAAAGAAACCGGTAGTAGCTCCAGAGGTAGTGGAGATCCAAGAAAAGAACCCTCCAAGTGGAACTCGAGAACCAAATGAAAGTGATACTAGTCCCTCGGATGAAGCTGTGGATGATAACCAGCAAGAAACTGATGTTTTCGAAGTCCCAGTCGAGAAAACGACAGTTGAACCCAAAGTTGAAACTACCCAACTGACTGAAGAGGTTCAGAAAGACAACAAACCAATTGATATTTCATCTGAACAATTGAAACTGGAGAAATCAACCTTACAAGAGTTGGCTGAAAAGAATGATGAGATAAACATGCTGAGAGCCAAACTGCAAGAGAAGGAAAAAGAAGTAGAAGTGTTTGGTCAAGAGAATGAGAGTCTGAAGAATCAGCTGAGTGAAGCAGCTTCAAACATCTCATCTGCTCGAGCCAAGGAAGAGGAAATGACCCTGAGGCTGAGCCAACTTGGAGAAGAGCTGGAAACAAGAAAATCGAATGAGACTCGTCTCAGTGAGCAGCTGAAATCTGTGGAAGCGGCAAAGGAGGCGTTGGAGGCTGAGATGAAGAAGATCAGAGTGCATACGGAACAATGGAGGAAAGCAGCAGATGCAGCAGCCGCTGTTCTTGCTGGGGGAGTTGAGATGAATGGGAGGATCCCGGAGAGGTGTGGCTCCATGGATAAGCACTTTGGTGGAAGCTTTGAGCCACGAACTGGTGGCTACTTCATGGGGTCGCCTGCTGACGACTTGGATGATGGCTTTGGTAGCGGAAAACGAAAGGGGTCGGGGATAAGAAACTTGTGGAGGAAGAAAGGCCATAAATAAAGAGATCCTTCCATGATCCCTTCTGTGTTTCTGATGGTAATGAAACAGTTTCTTACTGTTTCATACTTTGTTGTTAGGCATAATATTTACAGTCCGTGACAATTACAAGAACAGGATTCTTGGCTCTTTCCAGGCTTTTGTTATTATTAAGTACTTGAAAATGTGGTACCTACACTAGTAGTAGTGAGGTCAGGAATCTCTTCTTTCAAAGAAGAGACATTTTGTTGCTGACTCGCTCATATATATGGTCCAACAATCTATATTCGGATCCACGGTAGTTTAATCATTATATATGTTTCTTATAAGACGTTATGTTGAGGCTTTTGTATCAGTTGTGCGTTTGAGGAACCATTAACATGATTATGATTTCAAATTAAAAATTTAAATCGGAATCCATTCAAATTATGGACATTATCAGATTTAATTTAATTTAATTTTTTATTTTTATTTTTGGTGAGAATCATGGACATTATCAGATTTCATGTCATGAAATATTGGATTATCAGATTTCATGAAAAATTCAGAACCCATTTTTGCCTTCCACCTTTTGATCGCCAGTCTCGTCAACAAAGTTCTGGAGTGTGCAAAAAAAAAAAAAAAAAAAAATCACAAAAAAGAAGATGAATGCGCGAAAATACTTTTATTTTAAAAAGAAGAAGAAAAGGACAACTAGAAAAGAAACGACAACTAAAAGTCAATGTGTCTAAACGACATGAACGAAAAAGGGCACTACCAGATTAAAAGGTAATTTCAAATAACCACAGTAGAAATCCAAACGAAAAATGAATAAATAATAGGGACAAGAGAGAAAAAGTCACGCTCCAAAAAAATAGACCCTAAATTTTACTGCAACAAACTTTTTTTTTTTTTGTTTTGTTTTGTTTTGTTTTGTTTTTTTTAATTGCTAATTGATAGGACTAACTTACAAGTTCTCTAAAGTTTAATTTTAAAATAAAGATGAGGTGTGTGCCACCATTGAACATAGGGCGCGTTTATCAATTAAGAATTGAAAAGATAGAAAACAATATCTAAGAAAAAAAGAATTAGGTCCACGAAATTAAATTCTTTACTAATTTAATGAGAAATTAAGGCATCGTTCGTTTCACAGATTCAAATTTTCAATTCGAGCTGAGATGTGATATTTTTTAAGAACATTTAATTGTAGTATAAAAAATTAAATGTGACATTTTTTGAGAGTTTTTAACTGTAAAAATCTAAAATTGAAAACTTAAACCGGTGAAATGAACGAGACCTAAATAAAAAGGAGCAACAAATCCCTTTTATGTCATATACTTACCTAAAAAATTAAAAGGAATAGAAATATAATAAGTGCGGTTACAAAAAGAAATCGCAAAACGTAACCCAAACAACATAATTTACATAAAAATGTGTCTATAAATGTACTATTTTGTTAAACTGGAAAAAAATATTCATTTCTTAAAAATTTAAGAATCAATGATTTATCAAGATTAACCAACTTAAAATATACTAGCATAATCAATTTAAATACAAAATATTATAGTTTTTAATTTTAATGATAGTGAAGAGAGTATTTTGTATTTATTTTTAGAAAAGTTTTAGTTATTGTCGGATTAAGACATGATTATTTATGTTATATTTCAAAAATCATTCGTCATCTTTAATATTAGAGAATAAAAGCGTAAAAAAAACCAAATTTTATAGAGTATTATGACAATAAAAAAAAGTCAAAGATCAAATGATGCAATGTTAACAGTTCAACGACTAACAACGTCAACAAAAAAAGTATTTTATACATTTATTCTTAACATTTTAAGATTTTGACAACTTATCCCTACATTTATAATCTTAATAATTTCCCCTTATTAAATTATTTGAATGTGTTTGTTAAGGGTCCTATAGTGGTCAAGGGTGGTTTAGTCTTTTGTTATTTGTTAATTGTTTTAGTGGTCAAGGGTGGTTTAGTCTTTTGTTATTTGTTAATTGTTCTTTAGGAGACGTTTGGTTCATGGATTATAATCATGAGATTAGAACTATTTTTGATTTACGTGTATTTTTTGTGAGAAAAAACACTGTAGCGAACCACGAACCATGTTTTTTCCTCCGAAACTAATGAAAATAAGTGAATTTTGGCCTGAAAAATTGGGTTGGCGGGCTACGTCCTTCCATGATTGTCGAGCTCGAGAAGAGCTTCGATTTGGTATATTATAGGCCGAGTAACGATTTTTAGATAAAAAATTATGCCCGTTTTCACTCACAGTTCTCCGATTTTTTTCTTCAAAACTGATGAAAACAAGTGAATTTTGGCCCGAAAAATTGGGTTAGCGAGCTATGACTTGCCAGGATTGTAGAGCTCGAAAAGAGGTTCAATTTGGTATATTATAGGCCCAGTAACGATATCTAGATAAAAAGTTATAGCCGTTTTCAGTCACAGTTCTCCGATGTTTTTCCTCCAAAACTGATGAAAACAAGTGAATTTTAGCCCAAAAAATGGATTGGCGGGCTATGCCCAGCCATGATTGCAGAGCCCAAAAAGAGCTTCGGTTTGGTATATTATAGGCCCAGTAACGATTTGTAGATAAAAAGTTATGACTGTTTTCAGTCACAGTTCTCCGATTTCTTTCCTCCGAAACTGATGAACACAAGTGAATTTTGGCCCAAAAAATTGGGTTGGCCCAGTAACGATTTGTAGATAAAAAGTTATGACTGTTTTCAGTCACAGTTCTCCGATTTCTTTCCTCCGAAACTGATGAACACAAGTGAATTTTGGCCCGAAAAATTGGGTTGGCGGACTATGCCCTGCCATGATTGTAGAGCTCAAAAATAGCTTTGATTTGGTATATTATAGGCCCAGTAACGATATCTAGATAAAAAGTTATGTCCGTTTTCAGTCGCAGTTCTCAGATTTTTTTCCTCCGAAACTGATGAAAACAAGTGAATTTTGGCCCGAAATATTGGGTTGGAGGGCTATGCCCGGTCATGATTGTTGAGCTCGAAAAGAGCGTCAATTTGGTATATTATATGCCTAGTAACGATTTGTAGATAAAAAGTTATGGGCGTTTTCATTCACAGTTCTCCGATTTTTTTCCTCCGAAACTGATTAAAACAAGTGAATTTTGACCTGAAAAATTGGGGTGGCAGGCTATGCATTGCCATAATTGTAGAGCTCAAAAAAAGCTTCGATTTGATATATTATAGGACCAGTAACGATTTCTAGATAAAAAGTTATGGCCGTTTTCAGTCACAGTTTTCCGATTTCTTTCCTCCGAAACTGATGAAAACAAATGAATTTTGGCCCGAAAAATTGGGTTGGCAGGCTATGACCCACTATGATAGTAGAGCTCAAAAAGAGCTTCGATTTGGTATATTATAGGCCCGGTAATGATATCTAGATAAAAAGTTATGGCCGTTTTCAGTCACAATTCTCCGATTTTTTTCCTCCGAAACTGATGAAAACAAGTGAATTTTGGCCCAAAAAATTGGGTTGGCGGGCTACGTCCTGCCATGATTGTTGAGCTCAAAAAGAGCTTCGATTTGGTATATTATAGGCCCAGTAACGATTTGTAGATAAAAAGTTATGGCCGTTTTCAGTCACAGTTCTCCAATTTTTTTCTCCGAAACTGATGAAAAAAAGTGAATTTTGGACTAAAAAATTGGGTTGGAGGGCTATACCCTTCCATGATTGTAGAGCTCGAAAAGTGCTTCGATTTGGTATATTATAGGCTTAGTAACGATTTCTAGATAAAAAGTTATGGCCGTTTTTAGTCATAGTTTTTCAATTTTTTTCCTCTGAACTGATGAAAACAAGTGAATTTTGGCCTGAAAAATTGGGTTGGCGGGCTATGCCCTGCCATGATTGTAGAGCTCGAAAAAAGCTTCAATTTGGAATATTATAGGACCACTAACGGTTTCTCGATAAAAAGTTATGGCTGTTTTCAATCACAGTTCTCTGATTTTTTTCCTCTGAAACTGATGAAAACAAGTGAATTTTGGCCCAAAAAATTGGGTTGGCGGTTTATGCCCTATCATGATTGTAGAGCTCGAAAAGAGCTTCAATTTGGTATATTATAGGACCACTAACGGTTTCTCGATAAAAAGATATGACTGTTTTCAGTCAGAGTTCTCTGATTTTTTTCCTCCGAAACTGATGAAAACAAGTGAATTTTGGCCCAAAAAATTGGGTTGGAGGGTTATGCCCTACCATGATTGTAGAGCTTGAAAAGTGCTTTGATTTGGAATATTATTTGCCCAGTAACGATTTGTAGATTAAAAGTTATGGCTGGTTTCAGTCACTGTTCTCCGATTTTTTTCTCTGAAACTGATGAAAACAAGTGAATTTTGGCCTGAAATATTGGGTTGGCGGGCAATGACCTGCCATTATTGTAGACCTCAAAAATAGCTTCGATTTGGTATATTATAGGCCTAGTAATGATATCAAGATAAAAAGTTATGGCCGTTTTCAGTCACAATTCTCTGATTTTTTTCCTCTGAAACTGATGAAAAGAAGTGAATTTTGGCCCGAAAAATTGGGTTGGAGGGCTCTACCAACGGATGATTGTTGATATTGAAAAAAGCTTCGATTTTGTATATTATAGGACCAGTAACGGTTTCTAGATAAAAAGTTATGGCCGTTATCAGTCACAGTTCTCCGATTTTTTTCCTCTGAAACATATGAAAGTAAGTGAATTTTGGCCCGAAAAATTGGGTTGTCAGGCTATGCCCTACCACGATTGTAGAGCTCGAAAAAAGCTTCGATTTGGTATATTATAGGACTAGTAATGGTTTCTGGATAAAAAGTTATGGCCGTTTTCGGTCACAGTTATCCGATTTTCTTCCTCCGAAACTGATGAAAACAAGTGAATTTTAGCCTGAAAAATTGGGTTGGAGGGCGATGCCCTACCATGATTGGAGAACTCAAAAAGTACTATGATTTGGTATATTATAGGCCTAGAAACGATTTGTAGATAAAAAGTTATGGCCGTTTTTAGTCACACTTCTCCGATTTTTTCCCTCCGAAACTGATGAAAACAAGAGAATTTTGGCCTGAAAAATTGGGTTGGGGGGCTATGACCTGCCATGATTGTAGAGCTCAAAAAGAGCTTTGATTTGGTATATTATAGGCCCAGTAACGATATCTAGATAAAAAGTTATGGCCGTTTTCAGTCACAATTCTCTGATTTTTTTTCCTCCAAAACTGATGAAAACAAGTGAATTTTGGCCCAACATATTGGGTTGGTGAGCTATGTCCTGCCAGGATTGTTGAACTCGAAAAGATGTTCGATTTGGTATATTATAGGCCCAGTAACGATTTGTAGATAAAAAGTTATGGCCGTTTTCAG